CCAGCCTGGTCTTGAACTCACTGTGATCCTCCTGCCTCAGCCTCCCGAGTGCTGGGATTACAGGCGTGCGCCACTATGCCCAGCAATCTAAAAATCATTCATTATAAAATATACCACCAGATAGTATGGTGAAAATCATAGTTTCTGTTTTTAAATAAAGAAAATAAGATTTGTTATATGGGCCTCATTATCCACTGGTACAGCTGGCATAGTACTAGAGCATCATGGGACCCCATGAAGAGGACAAGCAACTGCAAACCTCAGCTGTGCCACACTGCACCATGTTGATGACTACTACTGTCAATTTTTTTCAACATTATTTGGGAAATTCCAGAACAACAAAAAATAGAAATAGATAAAATTTTCCAAAAATAAAAACTAAATTATCATTACTAACAGGTAAAATAATTGTCTGCCCAAGAGATTCCTTAGAAACCCCTTCAGAATCATACCTTTAAATAACGACAGAATAAATATGGAAATACTAATGGTTTTCTAATATATTGGCAAAAATAATTACAAAATTATGGATAAAAAAACACAATGCCAGGCCGGGGATTTAGCTCAGTGGTTCCTCTGCCTGCTCAGCAAGTGCAAGGTCCCAAGTTTGATCCCTGGTACAAACAAAAACAAAAACAAAAACAAAAACAAAAACAAAAACAAAATAACAACAACAACAACAAAAAAAAACAAAACCCACAATAAAACACAACACCAAAAAACAATATTCACACGAAACATGCACAAACAAATGGGGGAAAGCTAAAAGACGTTCATGAAAGGTATAAACCAAGACTTGATTAAGATGATAAACTGAAGTCTTTCCACTCATTCATCCTTAAATGTTTAGTTGACACCTGGAACATATCCAAGACTAAAGAAGACACATTTTGACTATTATAAAGTTGAAAATATTTCTAGTATAATTTATGAATTCTAGAAACATTTCATTGAAATATTTTTGGAATATGACATAAATACTTAAATTCCTTTGGAAAAATAAGAACAGAAAAAGAAAGTTAGCCTTTCTTGAGAAGGAAACATACATTAGTCATAATAATTAAGATGGAAGTAGTGGCATAAAAAGACAAAGGGAGGTTTTGGGATGTAGTTCAGTGGTTGATCAGGTGCTTAGTGTATGAGAAGTCCACAGCTCAAGGAAAAGCACCAATGGGGAAAATATAACAAAAACCAGAAAGGCAGAAGTCAGGGAAGGAGAAGGACAAACCAGGTGACAGGCAGGTAGGCAGGCAGTAAGGAAACAAAGAAGGAAACGAGGAAATAATCATAATACAGAAATGAGAGAATTAGAACACAGTGCATAATTTGTCAATAATATGACAACTTTTTTCTTATTAGCTCTGTAACACCTCTGTGCCCTCTACTGCCTCACAGAGTTGTTATGAAAAGAAAATAAACGGACATAAAAGTATTTAGAATAGTGCATAGTATATACTAAGCCCTGAAACATCATTAATTTTAGAAGAAAACAAACAAACAAACAAAAAAAACAGGGCTGGAGATTTAGCTCAGTGGTTCTGCCGCCTGCCTTGTAAGCACAAGGACTCAAGTTCGATCCCTGGTACCAAAAAAAAAAAAAAAAAAACAAAAAACAAAGAAAAAAAAAAAAAAAAAAAAAAACAGAAATCAAAGAAAGAAAGAAACAAACAAAAAGATTCAATGTTGGAAAACAGACCATTGTAATGCTCAATTTCCCAATATGGTAAACTAAAGAAATAACATTAACCAGCAAATCATAAAATCAGAAGCATTTTAAAATATTTTAAAATCACTGGATGAAAAGCTTTGTTTTTTATTAGAATAGATCACAGAGATCAGTGATAGATTTTTAAAAATATAAACCTCCTAATTTCTCTACACTTCAACAAAAAATCTAAGAAAGATATTCAAATAGAATACCATAAAGGAGACTCTTAGGAGCTCATAAAATTAGCAGGAAAAAAACAGTAAGATTCCACACAGTAGGCAAAAGACACAAACAGTGTTTACGAAACAGGGAGCACAGGGATTAACATCTTCATGGTGGGACTGTAATTCGTAAGTCTAGCTGCCCGGTGGCTCTGAAGCTCCGTTGATACATGCACAGGGGTCCCATCAGGCGGTATGGGACAGCCATGTATGTATCACTAATGGTTCAAGCTGGTGAGAACGTGTTAGTTCATGGGAATATGGCCAACCATGTAACTGAGAAATAAAAATGTGATGACATTTCCTACTACTAAAATGGCAACAAATTTTTTTATAAGTAATAAAATCTAATAC